AATTGAAGCTCCCTCCTTTCAGATGACTCTAGCTTCTGCCAAATTGACCTAAAACTAGCCAGCACAATGACCAAATTAAAGTATAGAGAATTCTAAACATCTGTTGGTGGCTTCTTAATGAATATGAAAATAATGCTATCTATCTTTTTTGCCTGGCTCTCCCTCCCAAACTCTACTTAATGAACATAGCCTGTGACTTTTTAGATATGTAATTAAATTTTTTATTTGTTTCCTTTTTTTTCTCACAGTAGTACAACATATTAGGGGGTAGAAAAAGGCTTTTGAAGCAACAAAGTTAGGGCTTCAACAGAGACTGAGAGTCTGCAATGTCACTTTCTCTGGTTTCTTTCTTCCTTAACCCAGTTTATGTAATCCACGGCAGGCAAAGAAAAAGGAACACTCTTTATGGCCTTCCTTAATTTTCTACTTTTAATTTTCTTCCAGGATCTTATTTTAAAACCTCCCCTCCCCCGCAAGGGGAGACACTAGAGAAAAATGCAAAGTGGTACCTCCCTCCTCTTTTTCCTTTTCCTCCTTCTAAGTTTCTAAGTTAACGGGGCAAGGGGAACACAACCTATTGGCCCAAAATGACTTAAGATCGAGTTTCTGGGGCTGGAGAGATGGCTCAGTGGCTAAGAGCATTGCCTGCTCTTCCAAAGGTCCTGAGTTCAATTCCCAGCAACCACATGGTGGCTTACAACCATCTGTAATGAGGTCTGGTGCCCTCTTCTGGCCTGCAGACATACACACGGACAGAATATTGTATACATAATAAATAAATAAATATTTAAAAAAAAAAAAAGATCGAGTTTCTGCCCACTGACCCTCAGTACACTGACCTTCCATAGACACCATGCCTTCCAACTCTCCGTGCTGGGATATGAAGAACTTCATCTTTGTTTGTTTGGTTTTGAGGCAGGGTCTCAAGTCGTTCCAACTGGCCTGGAACTCCTGACCCTCTTGCCTCCGTCTCTCAGATCCTTGGATCACAATCACACAGCACCACCAGGTTCAACTACTCCCAGGGACTTTGCCCGTGGGGTCAGCTTCATATCTAGACTGTAATACAAGGCCCTTATATCTGGAATTTGAAAGCAGTTGCACTCGAATGTCCTGTGGATCTGCCTCTAAATTGCCAAGGTGTTTAGCACTTCGCATCATTCCTTGACAGTAGCAACAGCATCCACTACTTTCCTGTCACCTGGGACCCACCTGGAAGAAACAGCTACGGGGGCTTGCAGGGGGCTTCAGTCTCCACATGCATCACATGTACACACACAGTACATACATACATGCATTCATTCATAATTTTAAAAATAAATGATTTGTGGCGGTTAAGAACTTTTGCTGCAAGCCAGGGTGAGTGGCACATGTCTTTAATCCCAGCACTCGGGAGGCAGAAGCAGGCCGATCTCTGTGAGTTCAGGCCCAGCCTGGTCTACAGATCGAGTTCCAGGAGAAGAGTAAGGAATAAAACCCCTGACTCAAACATAAAAAATAAGTAAGAAATCCAACAAGTACCACCATGCTTATCATGAGGTAACTGATAGATTATTCACAGGAAATGTAACAGCAAGAGGGAAAAGATTGTTCCTTAGTTTTCCTCTTTTTCTCCCCTTCTGGCTTTAGAATTTTCTACATTGATTTGTGTTGGGGGGAGGACTGCACACATAACAGCAATGAACATGGAATTCAGAGGACACTTTAGAAGAATTAGCTCCCCCCTCCCTTTGTATAAGCCCCAGCTGGTCAGGCTCAGAAGCAAGCACCTTTTCTTGCTGAGCCGCTTACTCGGGGTTAGGTTTTTCAGAGTCTCAGTGTATAGCCCAGGCAAGCTTCAAACTCAAAACTCAGTCACTCCCAGCCCCGATCTATCCTGCCAGTCCAGCTATCCTGCCTGGCCTTCCGGTTCGTTTTTACCATTTTCTCACCACAAAAACATTCACTTATTTTGACTCAAAAACTAGATGTGGGAGGTGAAGCTGATGAAAACACCCCAACATACTGAAAAGCTCTAGATATTCAATGGTTATTCGGGTGTTTTGTCCCACTAAATAAAACTGGAAACTAAGTCCATGTTCAAGACAATAAGAGCGGGTTAGCAAACTGCAGCCATGCTGTACATCATCAGACACAAATCCAACAATGTTTTCCACTGAAAAATTCAACAAGAGGCACTAGGCAAATCCAGTGGCCATGTGGACCTCAGCAAGCAGATGAAAAAAGACGAACGTGGGCAGAGATAGAGCCAGCTATGAATGAGTGCTCTCTCTGGGTGAGAGAACAGAAGTTATGTTTTTCCAGAAATTCTCATTGGTGAAAAATAGATTTTGTGCTTGTTTTTCTTTTTTAAGATTTATTTATTTCTTATGTACATAGTGTTCTGCCTGCATGCATGCCTGCCAGAAGAGGGCACCAGATCTCATTACAGATGGGTGTGAGCCATCATGTGGTTGCTGGGAACTGAACTCAGAACCTCCTGAAAAGCAGTCAGTGCTCTTAACCTCTGCGCCATTTCTGATGTGGGATTCCCCTCTGTATGCAATGAATATGTCTTATTACCATTGGTTAATAAAGAAGTTGCTTTGGCCTCTGGCTGGGCAGAGTAAAGCCAGGCAGGAAATCAGAACAGAGATATAGAGTAGGTGGAGTCAGGGAGACACCATGTAGCTGCCAAAGAAGAAGGACACCAGAACCTTACTGGTAGGCCACAAACTCGTGGTGATACACAGACTAATAAAAATGGGTTAATTTAAGATGTAAAAGTTTCACAATCCCAAAGAACCTAGACAACAATGAAGACCCTAAGAGAGACATACATGGATCTAATCTACATGGGAAGTAGAAAAAGACAAGATCTCTTGAGTAAATTGGGAGCATGGGGATCATGGAAGACGGTTGACAGGGAGGGGAGGGGTAAGGAGGAGAGCAGAGAAAAAGAATAGCTCAATAAAATCAATTGAAAAAATTAAAAAGATGTAAAAGTTAGCTAGGAATACACCTAAGCTATTGGCCAAACAGTTCTGTAATTAGTATAATTTATGTGTGATTATTTGGGTCTAGGCTGCCGGGAAAGGAACTCACAGTCTCCACTTACATTCACCCAACGTGGGGCCCAACACAGTCTCCGTTTACACATCTCTCCATTTACACGTCTCTCCATTTACACATCTCTGTATTTACACGTCTCTCCATTTACACATCTCTCCATTTACACAGTCTCCGTTTACACATCTCTCCATTTACACATCTCTCCATTTACACATCTCTCCATTTACACAGTCTCCGTTTACACATCTCTCCATTTACACATCTCTCCATTTACACGTCTCTCCATTTACACAGTCTCCGTTTACACATCTCTCCATTTACACATCTCTCCATTTACACATCTCTCCATTTACACAGTCTCCATTTACACATCTCTCCATTTACACAGTCTCCATTTACACATCTCTGTATTTACACGTCTCTCCATTTACACATCTCTCCGTTTACACAGTCTCCGTTTACACAGTCTGCATTTACACATCTCTCCAGGCCCCTATGTTTTTAATTACAGTAAAATAAATATAATATAAATTTTACTATTATGACCATTTTCAGGCATATACTTTGGTGTTGTTGCATCTACTCACATTATTGTACAACCAAAACTATCCTCTCCAGAATTTGTCATCTTGCAAAACTGAAATTTCGTGGCCATTAACTGTATCAGGCACAATGTCCGTCTTTTTATGACTGTCTCCTTTCACCTAGCATATTTTGTCGTTGTTCACTTAGATTGTAGAATGATCAAATTGCCCTTCCTTTTAAAGGCTGCATAGTATTCCATTGCATTAATTACACTATTCTATTTACCCATTCGTCCAAGGATGAGTATTAATATTATCACCTTCTGTGAGCCTGGGTATGTCTCTCCCATATATAAATATCTTTTGATGAAGGCTAGTAGAAGAGTTAAGTAGGTACCAAGCCTGGTGACCTAAGTTTGAACCCTGGAACTTACATGGTCAAAAGAAAGAACTAATTGCAAGTTGTCCTCTGACGTCCACATGTGTGCCGTGACACCTATGTGTTCATAGACACACACATGCACACACACACACACTCACATACGTGTGTATGCACCATGAATAAACAAGTAAATGTTTAAAAACAATTCAGCATAATATTGGAAATATAAATATGTTTTGATTGGTTCTAGATTTTAATAGACAAATTCCTAATTTGGCCCCTGCTTTTTCTGTCCCATCATTTGCCTTGGACCCTGACCTTGACTAACTATGACTCTGCTCAGAACATTCTCTTTGGGTTTTGTCAGCTTGACACAAGCCAGGGTCATCTGCGAAGAAGGAACATGAATTGAGAAGACGATCCCATCAGACTGGCCCGTATGCAAATCTGTGGGACATTTTCTTCATTAATGATTGATGTGGGAGAGTTTAGTTCACTGTAGGTGGTTACATGAAAGATAGCCCTGAGCTTCATTTAAAAAAAAAAAAAAAAAAAAAAAAAAGCAAATTGGGCCTAGAGGGATGGCTCAAAGATTAAGAGCACTGCCTGCCCTTCCAAAGGTCCTGGGTTCAATTCCCAGCAACCACATGGTGGCTCACAACCATCTATAATGAGATCTGGTGCCCTCTTCTGGTGTGCAGAACATTGTATATATAATAAATAAGTCTTTAAAAAAAAAGAAAAGAAAGCAAGCTGAAAAAGCCATGAGGAGCAAGCCAGTAAGCATCCACAGCCTCTGCTTTAGCTCCTGTCTCCAGGTTACCTGCCTTGAGTTCCTGTCCTGACTTTCCTCAGGAATGGACTGTGATGTGGAAGTGTAATCCAGGTAAACCCTCTCCTCCCCAAGTTGCTTTTGGCCCGTGGTCTTCATCACAGCAATAGAAAGCAAACGAGGGCAGACAGCCAGCTGGGAAAGATAGCTGCCCATAGTGGCCACTTCTCTAGGAATAACACTGTTTTCTCTGTTCTGATCGTCTCTGCAGGACAAATGCCTTAGCCTGGATCTTCCTGCCTGGATCTCCCTCACCAGCCCTTCTCTGTTCGTTGCACCCTTGTTTCTGACATTGGACCACTGACCTCCTCCTGACACCCGGCTCCAAGAAGACTGCAGAAAAAGAAAAAAAAAAAAAGTCCCACCAACCATCTCTCTTCATCCTCACTAACAATTTGGTAATGAAGTATTGATTTCCACTTCTCTCCTTATGGACGATATTAGATTTTCATTGATAAACTGCAACGGGACTGTCGCATCTCTGAGGCCCTCTTCACCGTCAGGAAGAAACAAAGTGCCACCGAGTTAAAATAATGACTGGGAGCATTGACGCACTTACTTTGTCATTTTGTAACAGGAAAGGGAGGGGGCACATCACTCTTCATAGTTTAATGTCCAAGTGGGCTGCTCTTGGGAGTTTACTTTTCATGGTAACGTCCATTTCCTATTTATAACCCCCCTGGGAACGTTTGTCTAAAGGAAATGTTTCTGTTCAGTGTAACAATTAAGGTTGCACCTGGATTCCCTAGTCCTGCCCCTGCACCGGGGAGCCATTAATCACCGCAGAGTAGAAGAGTTATTAAGTTAAACCGGAGTTTGAGCCAAGAAAACCTCCCAACCATGTTCATCTTCTGTGAAAGTTGTTGGAATAGACAGGCTTAACCGTGTTGCTGCCAAAGGCTTTTTCCTGTGGAGTGCGTCCTCCACGGTTATCTTGAGTGGTTTTGTAAGCTTAGCTCCCAGCATGCACCACTGTAGGATGAGCCCTGCAAACTGGGAGGGGTGCAGACTAGAACCCCAGATAAAGCAAAATGGCAATGCATCACCGAGAGTGCCAGGTGAAGTGGCCACCTTCACTGGCAATCCCTCCTTGCCAGACCTGTTGCCTCTCAAATGCAGCTTCTCCTTTGAACCAGCAGAATGCATGAAAACAGGGTGTCCGTTTTAAACGTGTTCCTGCAACTTTTTTCATTAAAACTTTAAGGGCCCAATTTTAATTTGTGGAATATTCCCGTTAATAATGAGATCTAATTAAGACATCCATTAAAAGCCCGTTAAAGTTAATTTAACGTAAAAATTCCAATAGAACTGTATTAGATTTTCTCCATTAAATTAACGTTATGGATTTTTAACGGATGTCTTAATTACACGTTATTATTAACGGGAATACTGTATTACACAGATTAAAATCAGGTCCTAAGTCAACTTGGAAAAGCTAAGAGCATGTTTTAATATTAAAGTCTCACAGACCTAGTACACAGTTTGGAAGCGCAGGGGAAGATGCAGTTATTCTAGCTGAGCATTTTCTGTACAATGGAGAGTAATCTATAATAGATAAATTCATCATTTCATTTAAACAATGGTCTCTTTATTCTCATAGGACAACCAAGTCTGGATTGTATTGTAAATTGCTACTCGGCTATAGGTGAAATATTTAAACTATTCTCAGCACAATATTCTGAAACAAATGACTATTTTGTGTTCTTGTTTTAATTACCAAGGTTATCCAAAAGAAAAGGGGGGGGGGAGGCTGACAAAATGAAGCCAAATACATTCTTTTCACCGTTTATTATAAAGGCTGCCTGTTGGAAATGTCTTGGAAATTTTGACATGATCCCTAAATTCGACGCTGGGATTTAAAATAAAATTTGAAGGAGAAAAAAAAAAAGAAAAAAAAACTTATTTACCTCCTAAGGAAAGTGTTGCCCTTATGCCACATATAATAGCAAATTGCTTTTTTTATGGCATGCATAACCTAGATGGGGAAAAATATGGTGCTTCAGGGAAGGAGGGGAAAAGTAAATGAAGTTCCAGGAATGTCATTCTGAAGTAATGAGGCATGGACGGAAAATATACCCCTCACATCATCGGATTGAGATGGCAGGCGAAATAGCTTCATTGAAGTGTCAGCACTCATCCATCAATCAATCACCCACAAGGAAAAATAACAACAGTACAACGGGGCGGCTTTTATGGGATTTACTCATGGGCACAGGGAACAGCGGCTCGGATGTAGTTCTGACATGAAAAGCAAGGTGCTGATATTATTTTTTATGATGGGAGGATCATAAAGTGAATTGAGAACAGAGAGAGGTCTGTCTGCTTAACCTGTTCAACCAGAAATGAACGGAACTCAGCTGGAAAGAACCGTCTTTGGATGGGTTAAGATGGAAGGGTGGACTCGGCTGAGCTCTGTCCTTCAACGGGAGATTCTATTAAGGGGGGGGGGGGAGATAATACATTAGCACGGGGCTCTGTGAAGCTGATAAAAATCGCCTGCTCCAACCCAGGGTTATTAGGCAAAGCTACATAATTCAGATCCTCTGGAACCAACCAAAAGCAAACACTGAGCTCGTGCCCCACCTGGGAAGACACAATACAGTTCCAAACTCCTAGGTAACCGGTTCACTCCTAAGAAGAAAATAAGAATAAATCTCTGTTTCGAATATAATCTATATGGTTCTGTTAGTGCAATTTCTCTGGTGGGGTGAGGTGGGAGGCGAGAGACAAAAATATTGATAAATTTGGTTAGACTCCTGAGTTGTCACTTGGCAACTGTGAACGTCGCCGCTGAGAGACAGCTGTTAATGTTCTCTGCAGAAAACAAGGTCTGAGCCGGCACCATGCCGTGCACAGCTCGGTGTATTTCTAGACACCGGGCCTGTCTTCATTTGGCAAGCCTGGGAAGCTTCTAGAAACTTCTTACTGGAGAGAAAAAAAAATGAAATAGCTTGAACTCCAGGAGAATGTTTGTATGTGCTTGCGTACCACTTCCTTCCTCCCTCAGATAAGCTGGAACCACAGAAGTGGAAGAGGAATGATATGCAAATGTAATGCAAATTACCGCTGAGTCCCTCCACTCCTCAGCCACCCTTTGGGAGCTGAGACAATGAGAGGTACCCTTTCCTTCTCCATGCCTCCTTCCAGCTAAGGCCACCAACCGGCTGAAACACGAAGAGCCCATTAAAAATATATATATGCAAATATTTAAATTTTATGTATTTCAGCAAATCTGCAGATCGACATCATAAACTCTGACAGCACAAGGCCCAACAGGAAAAACAATTTATTCAGCAAATTCTCTCAACCCATCTTGTTAGGCTCCTACCGTGTGTATCCCGGAAGTAGGAGTACCACCACGAACCTTTCATCTCGGCCCTCCTGTTTCAGACAGGACTGTTTCACCAGCCACTGCTCGGACATCTGAGGACAGTGTCCACTGAGGGTCAGAATCCTAGTATTTTCACAATAAGGAATTTTTCCCTGTGAAAAACATACAGGGAAGAAAAGGAGCTTCCAAATAGGTTAAGGCGTAAAAGCCATAAAAATAAATTGGATAGCCCAGACAGCCCCCAAGGAATTTCGTTGAGAACACAAATAGATTTCCCTAAAAACTCACCACCAAAATATGCCTGCTTGGTTGCTCGGCTCTTACATAACTAATGTTCTGAGCAAAAGCCCCCAAATTCTGTTGCAACAGAAAACATGAATTACAGTGCCGTGTTGGGAAGAGGTGAGTGAGCGTGTATGTGTGTGTGTGTGTGTGTGTGTGTGTGTGTGTGTGTATGTGTATGAGTGTGTGTGTGCGTGCGTGCGTGCGTGTGCATGCTCATGGTGGATGTTCATACCTGCATCCATATGCTTGCCGTGTTGGGAAGAGGTGAGTGTGCATATATGAATGTGTGAGTGTGTGTGTGTGTGTGTGTGTGTGTGTGTGTGCGCGCGCGCGCATGCACTCGTGGTGGATGTTCATACCTGCATCCATATGCTTGAAGCTCACTGATGTCTACCGTCTGGATAGGACAGTGATAAGAATCTTCCAAAACTTTTCGGTCAACCTGAAGACACAGATCATACAAAGTCCCCAGATTCTGTTTATCATCTGCCACTGGCCAGGTTATCTGACAAGGCTCAGGCCTTTTCTTTTTTTTTTTTTTTTCTGGGTGGGGGATCACTTTTAAATGTGTTCAATGTTTTTATAAAAGGAAGGGAAGAGAAGAGGGGGAGGAAGACAGCAGCAGCTTCTATTAGGACTAAAGAGATGGCTCAGTGGTTATGAGCACTGGCTGCTCTTACAACGGACCTGGGTTCAGTTCCCAGAACCCTCGCGGCCACTCAAGTTCTGGCCTCCGAGTTCACCAGACACACGTGATACACATACGTATACATGCAAGGGCACACACACACTTTATATGTGCCGTGTTCCCAGGATCCGCTGTGCCCTGAATGGAGTGCCGGTGTGGAAATGAATATAAAATAACAACAAGGGAATATGTTGAAGGCCATAAACTGCACATACACGCATAGTTCTAAAGCAAATTCAGTGCTGTCTGTTTTGAAGAGGCAAAAGCAACAAAAAAAATTCAAAACTCAACTTTTGGTTTATTTTGCTCCCTCTGTGAGGTACCAAAATGCTAATTTCATTTTCTCCCTTCCCTCTGGGTGGCACTTTCTCCAAATAGCCATAAAATACTTTTAGACAAAGATTGAGCTGGAGGAAGAGATGTGAATCTCCAGCCCTGTGGATGGAGAGCTGTGTCTCTACGGCAGGAAAAACCGTGCATCGTCTTTAGAATTTCCCGGCTAGAATTTGACCGCTCCATCCAGAGTAAACTGTCCTATGGTTTCCTGTGACAGCGTTAGAAGCCTACGCAGATATATAATTCCCGGTCTCTAGTTAAAATCTCCTTCCAATAGTTATGAACCCTTGGCTAACAGGCCTAGTAGTGCCTCCAAAAGTTATTCATGCACAAGGCAACCCAAAACTTTTTTCGGGGGGTGGGGGGTCGTGCAATAGTGGAAATGTTTTATGGATTAGAAATGGCCTGTCTTAAAATGCTAGTACCAGGTGGAATGATATTTCTGCAACAAGACTGTCCGTTTCCCTTGGAAAAATATATTCGGAGTAAAATAGCTCTTCCAAGAAGTGACACCCTGGCTTGACACCCTTCAGCATACAAATGATGTGACAATAGCCATACACTGCCGTGAGGGCCGTCTACAGTAACGTCTGTTTGAAGGAGACAGATCAAATACAGCCCCTTGAACTGTGTTTATTTGCTTAAAACAGCTTTTGGAAATAAAAGTAATAACTTTTGGTTGGAGCCCCCAGGAGATGTTAAAAAAAAGTTTGAAAAAAAATACATTGCTTTTTAAAAAAAAAATCTAAATCTAAGCACTCCCTTGACGCCTTTCAGGAAATATATTTCAGTATGCTCTCTGAATTATTTTGCACCTGAAACCTACATCTGACTGTCTGTCCCCAGGCAAAGGCTAATATTTATAGAATGAACAATCTCTGATTATGTCTCAACTATTGAGCTGGGTCCGGTCCTATTTTCACTTTCAAAATGACTTCTGGAACATTCCGGAGTTATAAAGATGTGTGCAGATATTGAGGGACAGAAAGTTCCACCGGTCTACGCCAAAGAAACAATTAAAACAGTGTGGGTCCGTTCCGCCTGGAAAGAAAGCTCGCAGAAGTCGGAGTCGAGACCGCAAGACTTTGCCTTCCTTCTTCACGCTGCAAACGTAACAAACGTGCCGAAACGTGACCTTTGGCTCAGGGTTCTTCCGCGTCATAAAACCCCAGTTTGCCACACACTTTTGGGTCTCATCCCCTTGGGCTTGCTTCCTAAGAACTGGATCCCAGAAGGATGAACCGCGAACTTTCAAACCCCTTGAATATCCAAGTGGACCTGTGACGGCCAACTGTTTCTGGTTCTGAAGGAGTCTTCTGTGACAAGCTGGGAAAGGTCTCTTGCATCCATTCCAGATTTTTGAATCTATCTTAATTTAAAAAAAAAAAAAAAGTAACTGGGCTCCGGGTGGGGACAGAGGGGTTCAGAAGGATTTTCAGGAACCATATTTATTCTTGCTCTGGAGGGAAGTGTTTGCTTCCGGGACAGAAACAAACATTTTTATATTCAGAAAGCAGACGAATTGTTTTCAGAGAAAATGACTGCAGCCATACCTGTAGAATGCTCGGTGCGCGGCCTCTACTCTCTCCTGCATGCCGGGTGTGCTTTGTTGGCGCACTAGAAGGAGGGGGAACGAACAGGCTGCTCTGCTGGGAGACCGCAGCCTGCATGGCCGGGAACACGACGCTGTACATATTTGTATATACTGACTAGATCGCCGCGTATGGACGCAGATTTTCTTATATTTACTTGATTCTGTTTCCTACCAAACTGGCCCACAATGCGGGATTGTTTTGCATTGGAGGAAAAAAAAAAAAAAACAATATGCTTGTCATTTCCCCCCTGATCATTCACTTCCGATAGCTTATGGAAGAATTAGGGCTGTGTTTCTTAAGAAATTCTAAGAACCACGGCTGTCCGCCTGCATGAGCCCCATCCGGTCGCTGGATCCAAGGAGGAACCGATGCCCTGATTTGACTGAGTTTTCCTCTAAAGGCATGCTTTACCCCATGGGAAAACCACAAACTCATCCATGTAGAACTAGCCTCTTTGCATTTTATCTAACAGGGCCTGGGAAACAAACAAAAAAAAAAAAAGATTATTTTTAATGTCTTCTTTAGAGGAAGAATTCATAATTGTCAAAATTTGAAACATTAGCTTAATTTTGTTTTTATGACCCCGTGCTTCTGCTCTTTATTTATTCCGTTACTGTTGTAATGGGGCCCCAGGCCATTCCTGACATCATCGTGTTCCTCCGCGGCATTAAGGATGTTTTTAAAATTACACAGATTATTGAGCCAACAGGCTGTTTTAATCAAAACCATGTTTCACTTGTTTAGGAGGCTTATAAATTGTCCTTGCAATGAAGAAGACGGGAGAAAAAAAAAGGGAAAAAAAAGAAAAGAAAAGAAAAAAGGATGAAAATAACAAAACCAAAAGCGATCCACTGGGAAGATTATACCACCGTGTGGCCAGACAGACTCATCACAGACAGGCCTCTTTGCCTGCTTCTCTGGGAATCTGGAAAATACTTCCCTTGTTTTCCCAACATCCTGAAACTCATTTTCAAGGCCAACGCTGTTTGCCAAGTTCCAAAGGTCTTTGCCACCTCATCACCACCCAAAGGCAAATGGTCCAGCTGGGAAATGATCTTCCAGGGGGAAGAATGAGTATTTCAGAAAAGATGGGCCTCTTTTCTTTGGTCCCTAGGCGCCACCAACCTGTCACCACCACCCTCACTGTAAGCAATCAGGTGTGATACCCCTTAGGACCTAAATC